TGCGGAGTCAAGTCGAAACCGAAGAAACTTTTGTCGATTATTCGGTATTTCACAAGATTTCCCTGAATAATACGCTGAGTACACGTTGTAAGCTCTGTATCAGTATATATGACTGCACATTGGGTGCTCTATATCACTACTGCATGTCTCAAATTAGCTATAAACTGACGAGGTCCAACTGTGGTAGCTGTAAGAAATATATACGACTTAATGGACCGAAACATTTCTTACCTAATTTAATACTTCTTTTCCACATCCTTTCTTTCTTAGCTTTTCTGTCATCCTTTCTTATATTTTTCCATCATCATTCTTACATTTTCCTTTAACACTAAATAAACTGAACATTTCTGGACACTCAGCGAGCGCTACTTATTGTCGAGGCATTGCTGCTTGGTATTTGCGCGTGCTTTTTCGATTTCTTTATTGCTGTGCTTAATTTAGTTGCCGAAATGGAGGCCGAGATGCAGAAGCAGCGTGCCCGTACACTTGACATCCTCGCAGAAAAGGAAAATGAATTGCAAGTTACAAAGTATGTCAGTTGTCAATTAAATTTGCTTACATTATGATTTGTCTTAGCTTGAATTCTCAAATTCCCAGAATAACTATAATTTTTATGGATATTTACATAAATTCCTGTATTAAAGATCGATACTGGCATCGGTAAGAAGCCAACAAAATCTTGATCCAATGGACCCGGCACAGGATGCATTACCCCGATCAGTGAATTATCGGAAAAGCTCTTCGCGTGACATTGGGGATAGCAGTGCACCTTGTGCACAGCGACGTAGAAGCGCTGGTACGTAATGCTTTTCATATTTTCAGGCTATTTTTCCCATTCACATAATTTGTTATTTTTTATAATGTTCTTTCGTCATTCGAAAACACTTACATAGTTATTTTTAATCCACTGTCCGTCGTGTGATTTAAAATTTTAAGTTTAAAAAAAGTTTTTTAATAAAATTTTTTTTGGTTTTTTGCTAAAAAGTCAGGCATTAGCTCAGTAACGTGACTCCGGATGTTTCTTTGACGTTGAAAGCGCATACGCATGTAACTCCAGCTGGACTTCTTTTTGTAGTTTAAAGTGATTGTCAGTGTGATTGATATGACTGCTAGTGAATAAGAGAATGATTTGCATAGAAAGCGGAAAAAATGTCATACAACTTTTTTCGGAAAACGAAGATATAAAATAGAGCAACCATATTCACGCCAAAATCACCGTCGTGTTGACCACAAAAATTACGCAATGATTACTGACTATATGAAGACCATGAAAAAGCATTATAATGAAATGGGTGCTGGTCAAAATATTAAAATTAAAATATTGTGCCGGAAAAGATCCCTATTTGCAGAATTTCGGTCTGCAGCTGATCGTTCGTTGAGTGATGCTGGCTCGTATTCAAGCGTAGTCGAAGAGCATCGCTTAGGTAAACTAAAAAAGCACCGAAATGCTTGAACTCACACAGAACCATTTAT